AACCATTTAACCATTTAACTATCCAACCATTTGACCATGCAGCCATTTAACCATCCAACCATTTAACCATTTAACTATCCAACCATTTGACCATGCAGCCATTTAACCATTTAACTATCCAACCATTTAACCATGCAGCCATTTAACCATCAAACCATTTAACCATTTAACCATCAAACCATTTAACCATGCAGCCATTTAACCATCCAACCATTTAACCATTTAAAGATCCAACCATTTAACCATGCAGCCATTTAACCATCCAACCAACTAACCATATAACCATCTTACAATTTAACCAACTTACCATATTAACCATCTTACAATTTAACCATATTATTATTTAACCATCTTGCAATTTAACCATATTATTATTTAACCATCTTACAATTTAACCATTTAACCTGTTAACCATCCAACCATTTAACATATAGCCATTTAACTATCCAACCAACTAACAATTTAACCATCCAACCATTTGACCCTCTAGCAAGTCAATTGATAAATATCGGGAAACACAATATTCTGTTAACCTGCAAGCTGCATTGTACATTATTAACTATCTAGTTTGTAAACTTCTAGCTAAAACCCATTATTCATTTGTACTGCACTTCAAATGAATACGTAGCATGATTAGTTTAATCATGTGATATATATATATATATATATATATAATGACGTACATCTTAATTGCGCCTATTTTAACTGTGTTGTAAATACGTAACATGGCTTTAACTTGTAATATATAAACCTCAAATACATTAGTTGTTATAGAGACTCCGATTTGATTAATACCAAGAGTAATTTGGTTCTCGTTGAAACATATGAGCTGAGATCGCGCCCATTGGTTTGTAATTGATATAATACGAATTAGTGTCTGGGTGACATCAATAGCTCATGAGATCGTGCTCACGATTGTAACCGGCTTTAGACATTGACAACTAAGTGGAACTGAATTGTACCTGGATAGATATGAAACTGAGAGCAGTTTATAGAGTAGGGTATTTACTACAGTCAAACTTCTAACCAAATAACAATTTAACCATTTAACAATCCAACCAACTAACCATCCGATTATTTAACCATCAAACCATCTAACAATTTAACTATCTAATTATTTAATAACAATTTGAATTTTTTACTATTTACCAAAAAACAATTTAACCATTTAACCATCTAATCATCTAACCATCAAACTATCTAACAATTTAATCATTAAAACATGTAATCATTTAGTGATCTAACCAAACAACCATCTAACAATTAACCATCCAATCACATTTTACATCTTCCATGGTTAATATATTTCCTGGATGTATCATCTCGATATCATGCTGCACCTCTATCTTCTTCTATTTACTGTATAGGATAATTCTAAGGATCATGACTGGATTGTTGGGTCTCAGGAGGAGGGGACTTCCTTCTTTTCTTCCTTCTTTTCTTCCTTCTTTTCTTCCTTCTTTTCTTCCTTCTTTTCTTCCTTCTTTTCTTCCTTCTTTTCTTCCTTCTTTACTTCCTTCATTTCTCCAACGTTTCTGAAGCAAGAAATGCGCGAGTCACTTTTGTAGAGAAACCAC